ATTTAATACAAGAACATGGATAAATGCACTTATCCAGACACTTACCAAAAAATGTTTAATTACTAGATAAGTAACTTACTTAAAAATGAACGGGGCCTTAATATTTAAACTATAATCAGTTGAATGCTCATATAAGTTAATTTCCCAGCGCAATAACTTGTATGACTAAAACTTGAAGAATTGGAAACAGACAAGTCTTGGGATCGTATCTTGTGGGTTGAGTTGAAGAATTTGTCAAGTTGCTTCAAAATATCTTGTGGGTTGAGTTGCGAATGAACATTCTCGATTCACACTCCCCACTTTTTATTTCTATTTTGTTGAATCTAGATAGGATCACATTCTAAAGAGGTGGAGCTTTAAAGAAACAGAGAAGTCTTCAAAGTCATGCTAGTCAGTCATGAAGTCCATCGTGCGGAGCTGGTCCCTGGCATTTAAACCATTCAGAACATGCTCTGGGGTTACTGCACCGAGAAGCATACTGAAAGGCCGATCGAGGCCGGCTAAAAGTGATGGTCCCCAGGACTAGCTTGTCGTTTGCCGTGTTTTAGTAGGCAGCCGCATTAGCAAGTTCGAGTATTAGAAAAGAAGTTCATTGGTTAAGAGACCCTTTTCTGCTTAATTATATATATAGGAAAGCAATCTATAAAAAACAGTTTGATTCCATCCACAGAGGTGTGAGAGGACATTCAATCAAACACAGTGTAGAGCTATAATGTGGAAGATTACTAAAATTCTTGTGGCTAAACATGCACGAACTATAAACAATTGGGAGTTAATTTGTGCTGTAGACTCAGTTCGGAAGGAGTATAAATATAAATATGTAGAGTGCAAAATCTTGCATTTTGTATGTATTTGCACTGTACATATTTGTCTTTGTATTGCTTCCAAACTGAGGGCGTATATGCATTTTGTGAGTACACAAATGGAACGCGTACCCCCTAGCTAGCTCACCTCTTACTTGTCCCAAGTGTTTGTAATGTCATTTGGGTTGTTCTACAAGAAGTTTGGATTATTGGTGCTTGGAAACCATGGACATCACATGTAAATCTATGGGTAGTCCCCCCCTCCCCCCCACAGCCCCACCCCATACGGCCATACCCCGTTTTCTCTTGTCATCTTTGACACCTGTTCTGTTCCGTTACGCAATTGGCTCCCCTCTTATGGTGTGACACGTCTCTTATCCTATTGAGCGCCACATCGCGGGCAACATGGTTAATGCTCAATTGGTTGAAAAGGGTGTCCTTGTATACTTAGGCCATACCAGTGGTGCATTGGCAATTTGGATGCATTGTAAGTTGTCCTTCAACTGGTCAAATTCCCCTCTACTTGTTGGCTGTCTCAACCACAACCTAGGAGAGTAGCCAGTACAGACATGATAGATACTTGCTGCAATATAACAGCCAATGGCACCCAACCCCTAAAGCGAGTAAATGCTGTTATAAGAGACAACCATTGGTTTACAATGTGTATGGTTTCATCCCTTTCTTCTTTTAAGAATTGAGGAAAGAATGGAGGATGAAAGCTCTGTTTCCACAACACCAGTACATTACATATCAGATTGCTTTAAGAGCAATCAACATCAATGTTGCAATTCTTACCCCCATGCCCCAACCATCAAGGAGGGGGCACTATCTTTACAGTGATCTCATTTGAAAAAAAAAAAAAAAAGCAGTCCTTTGTTAAAAGGTAAAAGGAAAAGTGTCGAACATGTTGTGGGCACGTGGATGCAACAGGAGACACATGAATCATGGGTTCATTTACAATCAAGATTGCCTTGTCAATGCCGAAGATACTGAGGAGCTAGTGAATTTACACTGATAACAACATATCAGAGCCTTGATTGCAATTCTGAGTCATGTGGAATGTGTAGTTTCCGATGCAAATGTGAAAAAGATAAATAAAAAAAAAAACCAGGGAAGTTTGTTTGAGTCAATAATATTGAGCAAGCTTTATCATCAAAAGGGTTCTAAAAATCTAGATTGGAAATGTCAAACCTAATGCATGGTGCTTCAAATGCAAGGTGGAAAATTTCAGGTATTAAATGATGAAGCCATAAATTTTATTTCCAGTACTCATCTATGACTTTGATACCTATTACCTAATATTCTTGGCCTTCTGGGAAACTAAATTACTAAATACATTGCCACGTGGAAAAACACATGCTCTTTATTATGGGCCAATTCTCATTAGTCATTACAAAGTAACTATGCATGGGACATTGAAAAAAATCAAATCAAGTGTTCAAATTTATACATACTGATAGTGGAATTTGGGAGTGAAGACATAACTGAATTCTCCGCATAATAACTCAGACATCTCTTCTTAGAAATTCTGAAATCACCCCAAAATTGGAGGATTAAGGTCTGGTGGGGTCTCAAATCCCCTTGAATTGTGGAATTGAATGTGCCAACTGGTTCAGCTGGGAGTTGTGGCCTTGTGGATATGGAAAATGGGTTACCACCTCCCATTATGCAGACTCAGTGAAGCCAAAACAGAAAGGATTTAGAAATTCCTTAAAATGGAGGAATTCAAGGATTAAAGTCACCTCTCAAATTCTGTTTGCAATAGATCTGTAGCCAAAAGGTATATATGTCATTGAGAATACCCTCCAATGATCATTAGCTTTGTGGAACGGAAATGACTTGCAACTGCCTGTTTCCTTTCTATTTATTTTGCATAGACCTATTTACAGGCCGGGCTTCGAGCTTGACCCATGACCATTTTACATTACGTTAGGTTTAGGCTTCAGGTTAAATTCATATAAATTTTGGCAAAAGTTAAACTTGAGCATGATCGATGAATAGGTCTATTTTACATCATCATCATCATCTGAGCCTTATCCCAATTATATGGTATCGGTTACATGAATCTTGTTTTTCCATTTCATTCTGTTTAATGTTATATTCATTATTAAATTAAATTATTTCTTACTATTTCAAATTATATTCCTGTTTATCCCTAACCCTTTCCGGTATTCTTTCTGTTTTCCTTTTCCTTTTTATTTTAGAGCAAAGGTGTGTGTTATGCAAATGTGCAGGTAAAAATATGACATATAAGCGTAACATTATATATAACCAAGGCAAGTATATCTTTATACACTAATAGAGTTTATTTATTTACAACAACCTCACAAACTTAGGGGGTGCTTGACAATAAGGTTGGTTCTATTTTTGAAAAAAAAAAAAAACAATTGATACATAGTAAAATTATATTGTTTGATTGATGTGACAGTTATTTTTGTTTTAAAAACAAAACGAACCATTTGCCAAATTACCCCTAAATATTTAAGAATTTGAGATTAGGTAATAACTCAAAACAGTAAAAATAATCTCATCTTTTTATAAAAAAAAAAAAAAAATACTGAAAGGTAATTTCCACACGCCTATCAAAAGCCACAGTATAATTTAAAATGGAGGGGATCTCCCTTAATAATTATGAACAGACAAGAGTGGCCTCACCGTAGGAACTCCTCAAGTTAATCAATGATTAGCCCAACAAAAGTTGCTTTACATTAATAAGTTAAATTTCCCAGGGTAATCTCCTAAATGGTGGATCCTGATCCTTTGATCCTTAGTAAATGTATTAGCTAATGATTTATCATTCATGGCTCAGGATCTCATGTGTTACTCTTACCGTGTCTTCTTCTGAAGGAAAAAGCCACCATCCATTCCTGAGCCAATGGATGACAAACACGACGGATTCTCACGGTAGGAGTGCTCTCCTACCCGGGTCAGAAAAGTGAAGGCCCTGTTTGACAAGATTATGTGAAAACATTTTTATTGTTCCTAATGTTCTCGTGGAGCATGAACATGTTTGGTAAAAAAAAATGAAAGAAACAAGTTATTCTCGCATAAGAACAATACCTAAAGAACACATTCTTTGAGAGTGATAAATCGACATTCTCAAATAACGTGTTCCTAGAGAATGTGTGGTTCTCATAATGTTAATGCATATTAATGAATACATGCCATCGATTCCTACGTGAGAGAAGGGGTATGTTTGATATTTCACGTGAAATAATAGAAACAAGTCCTAAGCAATCGCCTTTCATTCATTCAACACTACCTCAATGCCACTGCACATCTCAGAGGAGGGAACTACCTCAATGAGCAAATGGTATAAAGCTCCAGCAACATTTTCGGTCAGATTCACGTAAACAGGTAGGTGTATTCCTTCTTGCCGTACCTGGTTTACTCGTTATTGCTTTGTTTCTCATCATTGCTCTGTCTAGATTCACCCAAACCAATCTCCAATAACAATCATCTCTAACAAATGTCAAGTTTCCATCATCTAAATTCGTTTGTTCATACTATTTTTTTTTTTTACTTTGTTGGATATCTTGAAATGTGGGATTTCTATTATATCGATTGAGTGGGATTTCTTTTCATCTGAATTCATTATTCAAACTCCATTTTTGTTTCTGTAGAACAAAAATATGTTCCTGAAAAACATTTTGCCAAACACCTCTATTACCCTAGAGAAGCAAAAAATAAAATTCTTATTTTAACACAAGAATTAAAAAAAAAAAAAAAACAGAAACAATTGGGAACATTGTCAAACAGGGCCTTAGGAGACCCCATGTCCAAAGGTCGTTGTCCTTGCCAACACTTCTCATGCATTGCACCTATCCTCAAAAGCCACGGACGCCTTTCCATCTTTTTACTTAGCCCAATTTTTCTTAATTTATTTATATATTCACTCTAAAAAGTCCAAAAGCTTATACGGGTCCACCTTACTGGATATATCATTTCTCCAGGGCGTTGGTTCCACCACGGGAGCAGAACCACAGAAGCCAGACTTGCCACGTGGCAATCCCAAACACTTCACCTCTTTCCATTTTAGCTTTGTTTTCATGTCAAAAAAAGAAAGTAAATAAAAAGAAATTTTACAGCATATCATATACCCACAGTGTTGTTGTCCAAGCCTCCAAGGTGTATGTATATCCAAAACCAAAACTAATCTATAAATAGCTCTCTGCACGCTCTCCATTATTTGAACATCCTCTGTGTCCTACGAGAATCTCTGTAACTCAAACCCCTATGGCTGATTTTGCAGGAGAGTCGCAAAGTTTCAGGCCTTCCTTCCCTTTCTTAGAGATCGACTCCAACATGGAACTAATGATGAACCAGCTCGCAGAGTTGAACCCAAGTGGATTCCTAAATCCAAACTTGAACATACAGAGCTTCATGGGTTTCTCCAATGACAATTTCTTCGTCCAACAGCAGCCGGATTTCTCTACAAGCTTTGCAGATAATAGTACTGCGGGTGTCCCTCACCGGTACGGTCCAAATGCTTTGCCAGTTATTCAATCCGTGGCTTCAGCTGGAGATGCTGTCGACCATGAAAGTAAGAAGCAGATGATGGTATCGGAGAGCAGCTCCGGGAACTCTTCCGCTCCGGTCTCCGAAACAGGGTCGGGAGGAGATGATAAGACTAAGAGAAAGAATGTATGTTTTGTATTGTATTGTTTTTAATTTGATTCTCCTTTCTTCCTGATTGAATTTGTATACACCACTCTTTTGGAGTACGATTGGCTCTGTTTATGTGAGACTCAGATTGTGGGTTTGCTTCGTCTTCATGTTTACAGAGCTTCGGGAGAGGAAAGAGAAAGAGAAACAATGAGAACGAAGGGGAAACACCAAAGGAAGTTATTCATGTCAGAGCAAGAAGAGGCCAAGCCACTGACAGTCACAGCTTAGCAGAACGGGTAATTTTTTTTTTAAAATACTGTTTTCAGTTATTTATTTGGTTAATTTGCAGAAATACCCCTGATCTAAATACTGTTACAAAACTAACCTGCAATTTGACTATGAGCAAAAGAAAAAAAAAATTACAGAGAGAAGAATGATCACATGCTGTTGAAACTTGAAATAAATAACCCTGATTCCTTTGTTGTCGACCAGGTAAGAAGAGAGAAAATCAATGACAGATTGAGATGTTTGCAAGGCTTGGTTCCAGGATGCTACAAGGTAAGATAATTCCTTGAGAAAATTCTTCAAAGTACAATTTCTTGACTGAAAACTTGCTATTGTGTAAGAATTATATATTTGTTTGTTTCTTACAAGCATTTCTGGAAATGCAGACAATGGGAATGGCAGTAATGTTGGATGAAATAATCAATTATGTACAGTCATTGCAGAATCAAGTGGAGGTAATAATTAAGTAGTAACAGATGAATGTTTTGCTAATGAATTGATAAGAGTTCTAAACTTGGGTATTAATTTATTTTTCCTTCTTCTTAATTATGTGCTTTCTCCAGTTTCTTTCCATGAAGCTATCTGCAGCCAGTTCTTTCTATGACTTCAACTCAGAGATGGAAGCTCTTGAAACAACGCAGGTACTCCTTCAAGACCAGAATAAGCAAGCTTTCCCTTCAATGTACTACTCCAACTTAGAATGCCTAAATACTAGTATTATATGCCCAGGCTTCTCTATTTGGAATCAGGGAAACCCTAAAAAGGGAAATGAGGTAGTGAGTACCACCAATAGCAGTTACCTTTGATTCCAAATGTTGGTATGTTTCCAAGGGACCACAGTATGGGGAAATTCTCTTAAGCAGAGTCCGGATCTGCTCCTCACACAGTGCGCCTCACACCGACCTCACAGCATGTTCTGGCCGAACAGGGACATCTCCTGTGCTTATATTTGTTATTCATGGGGAGATGTAGGCACAGTCTGTGAGGAGCAGATTCCAATTCCCCTAAGCAATGCTCATGGGAAATAGCAGCCCCTACAGCATTAGAAGAGGGCTAAAAGCCTAAAACTGCAGAAACTATTACCATGGGCCATGGCAGCCCTATTCATGCCGGACGTCCCTCCTGTTTAGGGTTAGAATTGTCTCTGAGAGATGTTGCAAATACAGTCACACCTTGGCAGGTGACCCATAACGTGGAGCTCGCATTTCCTGCGACCATATCGCATGTGACCCCCCAATGAAATGCAAACACACCAGAGTTTGAAATAAAGAAAGAAAACAGTTGATGTGATGTATTGAATTTATTGGAAATGCTGGTGTGTTTGTGTTTTATTGAGAGGTCTCAGGAATGTACTGTGACTGCAGTCGCAGGAAATGTGAGCTCCATAACGTGGAGTGGTGTTTTAAGTTGTTCTTTTGTCTTGCACATCAATCAGCTAAAGCCTAAAGATTAAAATTCCTCCAAAGTACGTAACAAATCTTGTACCGGTCCACATCCCCTTGGGCCTTTGTGAGAGTGAATGAACTGATCCAGAATAAGGCTCAAGTAGTAAGTGTGATCCCTTAACCCATGGGCTTGTACATATGGGTTTCATCAAATGGGTTCATTAGGAAGCCAGCGAGGGACAGCTGAGCTTCACCCACCAATCACCATGAATCTTGAGGCCAGCTATATGTAGAGTAATGTTTGTGAAATAATTGGTTGACGGTTTTGTTTGCAGGGGGCAAATGCTTATGAAGCCCAAGAGATAGAAAGGGTGGTGAGAGACGGAGGATATGGAGGTCTAACTTGCTTCAACTCAACATGGCCCTTTTGACTCCACTTTTGGCTCTTACTTACTGCTGCAGCCTGCATGCCACATGAACAAGCTCTATTCCCTTCCCCTGCGCCAAATCAGATGTGTCCCCCCCGTTCATGCCCATATGTAGCACACGAGAAAATGGAATTTGTAATCCCAACCACACACCCATATGTGGGGGGCCTAACTTAAGATTCAATAATAAAAGCTTAATTAATACCATTTTTATCTTCATTAGATTCTTGCTTAGTTGTCCTTAAACCCATGGTTTTGTATCAATTGTGCTTCCTAGTACGAAAAATGTATGTACACCCACCACCATGTCGGCAGGATCACATCTCTCTCTCTTTCTAACAACGTGGCAAATAGTTATTTTGCTCACTTGATGAAATCGATTGCAAATTTGTGCCCATTTAATGTGTGGGTACTATCATAATTTAGGGTCGTTGGATAACAGATGAAATTTCTGAATCAAATAACTTATTGTTTTATCTTTTATTGAATAAAATAATTAAAAAATAAAAATTTCAAGGATATCATGATTTACCTAACTTCAATTTCAGCCATTAAGAAACCCTCAACCTCATTAAAAACTTATTCATTAAAAGACAAAACAATAAGATTAGAGTTAGAGATAGAGATAGAGAGAGAGAGAGAGAGCCAAGCCCATTATTAGAAGGTCACGGGATCAACCCCATATTGGGGTGATGTCCCAGCGAGGTAGAGCCCGGCATGGACTGCCTCGCCCATGCCCTTCGGGGGCCTACGGACAAAAAAGTGGGCGCACATTCTAACAGTCAATAATAAACCTGCTTTAACCTTTATTTATTTATTTATTTATTTTTAGTTATTTTCTCTTACTTAATTGTGATTGCAAGGTTGGAACAAAGGGAAGACGACAGAGTTCCATGTAGAGGGCCCATATAAAAAATAATTTAGATGTATGCATTTTGTACATGTCTCGTTTGTAGGGAGTGATGCTGAGACCCTTTTTATTTATATTACCTTATTGAAATGGGGGATTTTTAAGAAACAAGAAATGTGAAAAGGTTACAAAATAATATCGTTTAGTTATTCTACTGAGTGCAAAATTACACCACAAATCTATGAAGATAATCAATCATATAGAATTGACGTGGAGATTCAACTGCACTTACAGTGCTTCTACTATTGTTTTCTTGTTATACAAGTCATATTATGCTATGAGTTAAGGCATATCTAATTAAAAATAGCTAATTAGCTTTTTATAATTGGATAACAATTTTCTTGCTTTATTTTTTATATACTTTAAACATATTAATAATTTCTTATTTTTATCTGTAATTCTTATTATATTTTTACTTTATTTATTTTAGTTACTGCTATGTTTATGAATGTCAGTGGTCAAACTTTTGAGAGTGCATGAGTTTTATTATTATTGATTTGGTCCATTACCGGATTATTATCAACATGGGAAATGTAAAAAGAGGGGAAAAAACCCTTGGTGAGGTTTAAGTTCTCACAAAATACATGAATTGGAATTCCAACATAAAATTCCAATCCCTACCCTCCCAATTCCCACAATATAAAACACCTGTGGTATTAATGTTCTATTTACCTAAAAGGCAAACATATTGAGGATAATCAGTAATAATAGTATTGACTTGCAGTCATAATTGTCCTTGAGAAATCAAAACACAATCTGATGCCACCTTTTGTACAAGATAATTAGATTCTCCTTGTAATAATCCATTGGATTGGAGATAAAAATGGGTATTTTTAAGTTCACTCAACCAATTCATTTTCTTCTTTATTAAGAAACTGAATATAATCACTTTCCTATAAAACATGGACATATTTTAACACCAGCCCATTATGCATCACACCAGTCTCTTCTAGTTTTAAAATAAAAAATAATAAAGGAAAAAGAAAAGAAAGATGAATGAATGAATGAATGAATCAAGAATATAATAAATAAAAGGAAAGGAAGCAAGTTATTTACATGATCATATCTTTTCATTTTTAAAATCCAAACTGGGACTGGACCAGTTGGACTGGAAGAATGGAAGATGGACCCTGGGACTGGACCAGTCGGACTAGAGGATGGACCGGACCCCTGGTTAATCCAACTTGCATATATAGTTGACCCAAGAAAGGAAATAACAATCAGAGATCAAAATTTTGTGTCCATCTTTTGGAGTTTGGACACATTTTCTGGTTTACCCAACCGGGTTCTAAGATAATTGCTATTGGATGACAAGGATCGTTTGAAGTACGGCTGCTACTTTTGGGACTAACGATGCCAACACAACACTTATAACGGATCGTGGACCAGATAAAATGGGCAAGTGTGTCAACTGGACGGACAGCTAGGTTCTACGAAGAATTTTTTGACATTTTTCATGGCAGAGATGAAAGTGACAGTGAGTAGGGCCCCATGAATGGACAGTGGGATTCGCAGAGATGTTACCAATTCATACACTGAATGATTGAAAGGAGGAAGCTATCAAAGAGTGGTTTTGGGTGTAATTGAAGTAAGAAAGACTGGTGCATTGCATCCACAGATTTAGGATGGGGAGGAAGAAGACAGCCTTGAATGGGCCACTTCATGCCCATAAGAGCATGGGCAATGTGGGTTCTCCAGCCTCTCAAATGATAAGAACCCATTAACCTCCAAAGCCGCTTTTCCTTGACTCCATATTGACTCTGATTTCCCTCTTCACCATGCATGCACAAGGTTGAGTTATGGGCCCATCCATCTTATTCTTACTAGCTAAATGGATGGGCCCTCTTCTCTCTTTAGATTTTGAATCCCATATACATCCAACTGTGATTTGGGCTTATTTTTGAAGGCGAGGACAACTATGAATACAATGAGCAAGGACCCCCCCCAAAACCCCATCAGTATGACAGTATGTATTTT